TGTGAGGACTGTTACAATTAGAAGACTCCTATGTGAAGCCAAGCTATCTGCAAGAAGTCCCCGCAAAGTCCACTGTTGAAAAAAAGACATGTGCTGAAGAGGTTACAATTTGCCAAAGAGCACATTGACTGGCCTAAAGAGAAATGGCACAACATTTTGTGCACTGATGAAAGTAAGATTGTTCTTTTTGGGTCTAGTGGGCGGAGACAGTTGGTCAGACGACCCCCAAACACTGAATTCAAGCCACAGTACACTGTGAAGACAGTGAAGCATGGTGGTGCAAGCATCATGATATGGGGATGTTTCTCATACTACGGTGTTGGGCCTATTTATCGCATACCAGGGATCATGGATCAGTTTGAATACATCAGAATACTTGAAGAGGTCATGCTGCCTTATGCTGAAGAGGAAATGACCTTGAAATGGGTGTTCCAACAAGACAACGACCCCAAACGCACCAGTAAATGTGCAACATCTTGGTTCCAGACCAACAAGATTGACATTATGGAGTGCCCAGTCCAATCCTCGGATCTTAACCAATAGAAAACTTGTGGGGGTGACATCAAAAATGCAGTTTCTGAGGCAAAACCAAGAAATAGAGAAGAACTGTGGAATGTAGTCCAATCATCCTGGGCTGGAATACCTGATCACAGGGCCAGAAGTTGGGTGACTCCATGCAACACAGATGTACAGCAGTTCTCAGAAACAGTGCGATTACAACCAAATATTCATTAAGTGATTCAAAGGAAAGCAAAATCTTCAAACATTTTTCAGTTTATATAGTGAATGTTTGAGTTTGTAAAGAAGAATACAAACACTGCTATTTTTTTGAAAAGTCTAATATTCACTTTTCTCTTCAATTTTTTTAGAGGAACAACTCAAATTTGATCTATTTTTCTTCATGTTTTGATTTGGAATAGAATGTGTAGTGTTCCCAATGCATTTGTGTGTATGGAAATAAAAGCTATTAGAAGGATTTTGAGCTTTATTCACTTTTTTCAACACACTATTATTTTGAACACAACTATATATATATATATATATATATATATATATATATTATATATATATATATATATAGGCTACATCTTTTTCTGTAAATATTTAATTGCACCATTTTGACCTTTTTAGTAATAAATCCTCTTATCTGAAAAGTGTTGAACTGTTTCTAAAGCTCTTTAATGCAAACTAAGAATCCCTGTCTCTGAAGAGTGCTACTGTGTGTTTTTAAACCTCTGCATACATCTGCCTGCGGTGACAGTGTGTATACAGACGATTATTCAAACATCATAGTGTTACTGCTAAGATTGGTGAGTTTCCTCTTTCTCTGTACAAAAAAAGGTGGTGGTGGCGGCAGTGTGAAGGGTTAATTGCGTCAATAACCTGACCCAGTAACAATCGCTCTCAGGCTGCGGCACATAGGTTGTGGTCCAGTGAGCTGGAAAATCTTTGTGCAGGGTGCAGCTGAGCGTGGCATTGTTACGCACGTGACAGCGCGTTTTTAAGATTGGCTAGTCCTTCGGTCACAAGTTGGTGAGAAGGGCTAGGGTCTGACGCCGCGATCATCACAGATTGCACCACACAAAAAGTATATATAAGTAAAGAACCAGCACCACGGAAATTGTATAAGACAACAGTAAGCTGCAAAGCCTAACCTATAAACATATAGGATATACAAAACTTCAAAAAAATAGGTTGCGCTTAAATACATACAAAAGTGTAACAAAAAAAAATATAACAAAACAATAAGAAACAATGTTTTAAATCAAAATAAAAATCCAGCAAAAACAAAAAAAAGTCCAAAAGTTCAAATAATAATGTCCAAACTAATTCATCACCAAGTGAATCCACCGCCAAAAATGGTTAAAAAGAACTCACCAGAATAATATGCTGATTGTTGAAAAACCAGCATATAGTACTTGTTATTCTGGGAGCAATGAATAATATGGTGACAGCAACACTGAAGAAATGAGGGAAGAAGTCCAACAGATGATGTGCTGCAAAGTTGAAAATCCACTCCAAAGGTGATTTAGTATCCAAACTGAGAGATGATCAGACCGTCACTCAAAAGAAAAAAGTGAACAATCATGGTGCAGTATGTTTTAAAAAACATCAAAAACTTTAATGAAGAAATGCACTTACAAGCAAGGTGCCCAGACTGACACCAGTATAGACAGCATGTATAATGAATACAGGCGACTCAGACCCAGCCAAACATGCACATGCAACGTGCAGACAAACCAGGAGTATTCTGAACTTCACATCTAAATCATCTTTGGAGTGGATTTTCAACTTTGCAGCACATCATCTGTTGGAGTTCATCCCTCATTTCTTCAGCGTTGCTGTCACCATATTATTCATTGCTCCCAGAATAACAAGTACTATATGCTGGTTTTTCAACAATCAGCATATTACTCTGGTGAGTTCTATTTAACCTTTTTTGGCGGTGGATTCACTTGGTGATGAATTAATTTGGACATTATTATTTGAACTTTTGGATTTTATTTTGTTTTTGCTGGATTTTATTTTGATTTAAAATATTGTTTCTTATTGTTTTGTTATATTTTTTTTTTTGTTACACTTTTGTATGTATTTAAGCGCAACCTATTTTTTTTGAAATTTTCCACACAAAAAGTGTTAAATAACCCAAATGTTGTGCAATAAATACAATATACCACCAAAATAGTGTCCAGGTGTGTTATTTTGAACATTAAAAACCAAAAACAAATTGATCCAAAAAACAATTAACCGAAACAAAAAAAATTGAAAAACAAACAAACAATCTTTTGTACTGTATTCTCCAATATGCACTGTATTTTATTGTTATGTCCATCGATTGCTTTCCGCACAATTGATTTTTTTTGTTGCACTGCACTCTTTGTATATACATTTTCCCTTGTAGGAACACATGTCAGTGAATTAGTGGCTACCTGTATTTTGTTTCCCTGGATTAGGGGTGCCGTGGGTTATTGCTTTATTTTTATCACCTTTGGAACTTGTTACATTTTCACACGCTTGTAGGGTGGAACATGTAACATGTTTCAGCATCTGCACCTTCTCCCCAGATCCCCCCTCCCTGTGATAGCAGATGTGGGGAGAGGATCCCCCGTTTGCTGTCACAGGGAGGGGAATTGGGGGAGAGGAGGCAGGAGCTGGAACATGTTACATGATCCTCCTGTAACGTGTTCCAAAGGTGAAAGCCGTTAATTGTTGTTTATTCAGAGATTGGTAAAAGGGATTAAAGTGGAAGTTCAGCCAAAACCGAACTAATGCTAAACCTGCTCCCACCCCCATTCTAATCCTCATCTATCTAACCCTGTAAAGAAAAGATCGCTGTACTTACCTGATCTAAAGCTGCTCTTGTGTGTAAAAGCACAAGATTTTACACTTTCCCGGCACTATTGTGAACCTAACCTACCTGCCATAATGAGGATCATGTGCTTTACTACAGCAGTGAAAGGGTTAAAATGTAATTAAACCTGAATGAAGAGAAGTCTGCTGGCTGCCATTGTTACCATTCTCCTGAAATTGCTGGTTGCCTGGCTGTCTTTGACTCAGTATGTTAAATAATTAACCTGGAACAAGCATGCAGCAAGTAAAGTCAGAGTGAAGTCTGGAGTAGATGAGATTAGCTGTGTTTGTCGGCCTTTCCTCCCCTGTATCCTGTCTGCAGGGTTTGTATTTGGTGTAATAAAGAAATAGAAATGTAAGAATTGTCTCACCTCTAGTCTGGTTGAATCGTTGCATCGCTGTCCGTACATTCTGCTTGAAAATAGGCTCATTTCTCCGACTTATTACTGTGTTATATTCCCAGTAGTCAGGTTCCAGTTTCTTCATCCATTCAGTCTTGGGAAGATACTGCCGAGTGTCGCTGTTATAATTTGTTATCTCCTTATCATCCACATATCCGACTATAGAGAACGCAGGGAGCCCGGATCCCGGAGAGGAGACTCCAGTTTCATAATACCGCATAGAGTGACTGTCTGATAGAGAGACATACAGACTGTTATATATACATCCTGTACACATCACACAGCATAATGTATATAATGGATACATACAAGTCTCATCCCTGACCCAGATCACTGCCGGAATAAGATGATCAGATCATGTCTGCTTCAGTGTGAAGAGAGCAATGTACAGAGATAATCCCCTCCAATGTGATAACGATGATATGAATTTACTATTATTGGTACAACAATCCCCCCTATGAACTGCAATCCCAATCTTGTATCACTGATCTACACTGACCATAATGTATGGTGTAATTAGGGATGAGCTCAGCCATGGCTGGACACAAGTCTGGACCTGCCTCACCGATCCCACCAGGATGTTGTCACTGCGAACAGCGAATCACAAGCAGCAGAGGCATCCCCCACCCTGTATCCGCACATATACAAGGGGGTATAGCAATGGCTGACAGGCGTTCAGGAGGTGCTACTGCCACCTGATAATACATTGTTTACACTTTTTTATAATTCCTGAAGTGCAATTTTACATTGTGTGTGACATTTCTGCAACTGTTAGCCAAGTTACATAGTTACTGTATTTTCCGGCGTATAAGACGACTTTTTAACCCTTGAAAATCTTCTCAAAAGTCGGGGGTCGTCTTATACACCGGTATACAGCATGCTGACACTTGGTGTCAGGGTGGCACTTTTTAGGGGGGCGGCGCGGTGGTGCCGCTGCCGCCCCCCCCCCTTCCAACGGAAGGGACACTAAGTACAGGAGTGGGCAGGGGGCTGCTGTTTCTTACCTGGCTCCGGTCCCAGTCCCAAAGTGATCCAGTCCAGGAAGCGCGGCTGCTCCTTCATTCAGTTCGGCCGTTCGATGTTCGCGCGGCCACTCGGCTCCGCTTCCTCACCGGCGAGGAGGCGGAGCCGAGCGGCCCCACGAAAATCGAGTGAGGGAGCAGCCAGTAAGTGTGCCGTGCAGAGGTGCTGCTGCAACCACATATGCTGGCTGCAGCAGCACCATACTGGTACAGGGGTCAGCAAGTGTCATTGGTGTCAGTGGGAGGAATAGTGCATCATCATTGGTGTCACTGATACTAATGATGGGGCATTATTTCTCCCACTGACACCAACGATGGGGCACTATTCCTACCCCTACTGACACCAACGATGGGGCACTATTCCTCCCCCCCACTGACACCAACGATGGGGAACTATTCCTCCCCCCACTGACACCAACGATGGGGAACTATTCCTCCCCCCCCACACTGACACCAACGATGGGGCACTACTCCACCCCCCCCACTGGCACCAATGATGGAACACTATTCCTTCCCCCACTGACACCAATGATGGGGTACTATTCCTCCCACTGACACCAAAGATGGGGCACTATTCCCGCCACTGATATTAATGATGGGGCACTATTCCTCCTACTGATACCAATGATGGAGCACGATTCCTCCCACTGACACCAATGATGGGGCACTATTCCTCCCACTGATACCAATGATGAGCCACTAATCCCCCCACTGATACCAATGATGGGGCACGATTCCTCCCACTGACACCAATGATGGGGCGCTATTCCCCCCACTGATACTAATGATGGGGCACTATTCTTCCCACTGATACCAATGATGGGCCGCTATTCCTCCCACTGACACCAATGATGGGGCACGATTCGTCGCTCTGACACCAATGATGGGGCATGATTCGTTGTTCTGACACCAATGATGGGGCACTATTCCTCCCACTGACACCAATGATGGGGCACTATTCCTCCCACTGACACCAATGATGGGGCATGATTCTTCCCACTGACACCAATGATGGGGCACTATTCCTCCCACTGACACCAATAATGGGGCACTATTCCTCCCACTGACACCAATGATGGGGCACGATTCTTCCCACTGACACCAATGATGGGGCATTATTCATCCCACTGACACTAATGATGGGACACTATTCCTCACACACTGACACTAATGATGGGGCACCATCATTGGTGTCAGTGGGAAGAATAATGCCCCATCATTGGTGTCAGTGGGAGGAATAGCACCCCATCATTGGAATATCATACTGAAATACCATACCATATTGAAATCAAATCTGATGTTTTTTAATTTTTATTTGGTGTGTGTTGGAAGAGGGGTAGTCTTATACGACGAGTATAGCCCAAACCCTATATTTTAACAGGAAAAGTAGGGGGTTGTCTTATACGCCGGAAAATATGGTAGTCTGACTGAAAAAAGACAAAAGTCCATCCAGTTGAACCATAAAAAAAAAAAAAAGTTATAATCCTACACCCACAGTTGATCCAGAGGAAGGAAAAAAAAACCCAGCAAAGCATGATCCAATTAGCTCCTGCAGGGAAAAAATTCCTTCCTGATCCCCCGAGAGGCAATCGGATATTCCTTGGAAGTGTTTGGCTTTAGTCGTGGTGTGGCCCCATTAGTCTCAATGGGTGAGTTTGACAAGCAGTGCGACCCGTCAGACCCGGCAACCCAAGATAAAAATGGTACAGCCATGAAGCAAAGCATCGCAACCACAGCCTCTGCACAGCCCTGTCAGGCTGTAATATTAGTGTTTGGGTGGGTAATCGGGGGGCAGTAAAACCGTGGATCAGCCACCCATTTTTATTATCCCCCAGCTTCCCATGTGAAAGAGTCCTTAGTGCTTGAACTTCTGTACTAAGATCTGCCTCTGTGCAGGAGAATACCCCCCAAAAAGCTGTGAACGAGATCTCCCCTACATTCCTGAACTATAACAATGCTGAACTCCCCCGTGAAGAAAGGGAATCCTATACTCCCTTACAGACCATGGCCCCTGATCATCATATTTCAGATTTATAAAAAAAAAAACAGACAACTATAAGCAGGGAAAGACAGTGCCTGACTGTGGCCTTCTCAGGACGTATCGAGACTCTAGGGATGGATTAGCCACTCAGGGGCTCTATATGCGTCGAAAAAGAGTTCCAAGGGGAGGGCCACCAGGCAGTTAGGACATCAGAAGACATAGGGACAGTCAGGAATAAAATAGCCATTTTAAGGGGGGATTGTAGTGGATTGTGATAGACAGTCCACGTTCTATTAGATGATCAGTAAAATGACAATTTTATAGTCTTGCTACTGTCTGTTTCTTGCTCTTTAAATTCCTTACTCTCTTAAGTAAACAATCAGATATAGGTTGACAGAACAATGATGATAATTAAGATGGCGCCTTCATCCGGAGTCTCACCCTTGGTGACTCATTAGGAGAAAAGTATCTTTTAATGTAAACAACCCCCATAAAAGGGAATGAGTCTTTTTGGGGACAATGATTGGAAGATATCAACACGGATGGAAGAACACGCAGAAACCCAGTGGACTTTTCACCCAATCAATGTATATGCTTTGCCTGCATCATATGCCCTATAAATGATACTGTTAGTTCCTCAATAAAACAGAATTTTAGGAAGTTGGCAAACTGCAACAGTGTCAGTGTCTTTCTTCCACGTGCATGTATTCTCATATTAATTTGGCTCACTGATAGATCACGGTAAATGGTCCGTAAGTGACCGAGTCCAAAACCCCCCCCCCTCCCTACACACAGATCACTCAGGATTCCGGGCAAGACCAGAATCCCTCAGGGCGCGGAGTCTAAGCCCCAGGCTACCCTTCACCAGGGCCCCTGATGGTGGGGATGGACGTGACACAGCCTGAGACCAGGTTGCGGTCCCCGAGTTACTCCAGCTGCGGTAACGACTGCCGCCAATGGCGTACAGCTTGTAGGAGCTAGATGGGAACACGTGTAGCGTAGTCAGACAGGCTGGGTCAATAACAACGGAGCAGACAGTACTAGACGGTAAACAAAGAATACTCAGGTCACGGGCCGGATTCAGCAACGGGAGATCAGGTAATGGGATAAAGCAGAGAATAGTCTTGTCCAAGCCGAGTCGGTTACCAGGAGAGCAACGAGAACAGAACAAGAGCTTGCAACAAGGAAACATACAGGACACAAGTGCAGAGAGCACTTGCAGACAGCAGGTTTAAATGTGCTCAACCACACCCTTCTGAGGAGGAGCCGCAGAAGTCTGAAGGCATAAAGGTTCCCACCATGCTTTGCAGAAACCCAAGATGGATGCCAGCACATGGAGATGCACAAGCTCTGAAGAAAGGTAGGACCTTGACAATCACCTCTGGGTTTTTTATTTTTTTTGCTAAACAAACCAAAAACAACTAAAATTTTTGAAAAAAAAAGTTTTTTCTAGTTTTTGTTTTAAAATTGTTTGATTGTCCGAGGTCTCAACTCTCCCTTCAAAAGGTCTCTGCTTTCGAGAGAAGTCCGCACCATCCAACCTGACATCGTATTCCTACAAGAGACCCACTTCGCCTCTTCAAAAATCCCTAAATTCAATATTCCTCAGTTCTCCACAATGTATATGGCAACGAATCCTAAAAAAAACGGCGTCATTACAACTATAAGAGACTCCCTGAAGTTTCCAATTTATTTCGGAAACAGCAGACCCACAAGGTCGCTACCATATATTGATATGCAATATCAACGAAACTACATATACATTGGTGAACGTCTATGGCCCTAACACCAATCAAATTCAATTCTTCAACAAACTTAACGCCACCATAAATCGACATAGAAAAGGCAGACTAATCATTGGCAGGGACTTCAACATCATCGGTAATCCTCTTCTGGACTCCTCATCCAATACAAGATCTTCAAGACAGACCTTCAACCAATTTCTCCATTCCAACGATCTCTACGACATCTGGAGATGTCAACACAGTACAGAAAAGGACTATACCTACTTTTCTCCACCCCATTCATCCTACTCTAGAATAGACTTTTTCATCACCGACAAATGGACACTGCAACATATCACCTCCTCCAAGATTGGCACTATTAGGTGGTCAGACCATGCTCCGATCACAATCTCTCTTGACAGCAAACAATATTCGACTATACCCCGATTATGGAGTTCAGTACTCATTCCTGCTGAAAAACCAAGTCTACAAGCAACAGATAATTGATGCACACAAAACATTTTTTGAATTTAACGATACCCCTGATATATCCATAACCACTTTATGGTCAACATATAAAGCATACATGAGAGGTATTCTGATACAACTAAACGCTCGCATTAACAAAAAAAGAACCCAACAAATTCTATAACTTTCTAACATCAATCAAATCTAACAAAAAAAAAAAAACAAAAAAGCTCAAGACCCTGCAATCTCTGCGTCTCTGACAGCAGATAGAAATAAATTAAGATCCCTTTTACTCCACAAATATGATCTAAATCTTCAGAAAATGAGAGCGAAATTCTACTCACTAGGTAACAAAGCCAGCTCACTGTTAGCCAAATCGGTAAAACAAAAACGTCTGAAATCCAAAATAGCCTCAATTAAACACCCATCTACAAATACCCTAAACACAAACCCACAAGATATAGCAAACGCTTTTGCAGTATACTACCAAACTCTTTATAACCTTAAAAATGACCCTAACACCATTCAACCAACGACCGCGGCCATACAACAATTCCTCCAAACAACCAACCTTCCTCAGCTATCCACAGAGCAACTTGACTCCATTTCCAGCCCGATATCTTCCAAAGAAATAGAAACGTCCATTAAAACACTACCAATTAATAAATCACCAGGAAACGACGGATATACTAACGAATACTATAAATACCTTGCCACAGAACTATCACCACATCTGACCAAACTCTTCAACCATGCTGCCACCACAGTCTCATTCCCCAATCTATCATAACGACTATACCAAAACCTGGCAAAGACCCCCAACTAGTTCAGAACTACAGGCCAATTTCACTACTCAATACCGACATAAAACTCTACGCAAAAATTATATCCAGAAGAATTCTCCCCTACCTTCCCCTGCTAATACACCAAGATCAAGTAGGTTTCATCCCAGGTCGACAAGCACCCGATGCTACTAGGAGAATTATTTCCCTCCTGCGCAATTTAGAAAGCACTAAGACCCCCTCCTTGCTCCTATCATTGGATGCAGAAAAAGCGTTTGACCGAATACATTGGCAATTCATGCAACTGACACTTCAAAAATTTGGCATCACAGGTTGGATGATGAAAGCCATCTTGTCACTATATTCTCAACCATCCGCTAGAGTTTTGACAGATGGTACATTATCCGATCCCTTCGACATATCAAATGGTACAAGACAAGGCTGCCCACTCTCCCCGATTAATATTTACACTCCTTATTGAACCCCTAGCTTCCAAACTCAGAGAGAGGATAGAACATTCACAGGAATTACACATCTTAACATGGAACACACAAAATCAGCCTATTTGCGGACGATATAATACTTATGGTAACCAACCCTAAAAAATCCCTCCAAACGATTCGCTCACACCTATTTACTTACTCAACAGTTTCATACTATAAACTTAATGAACCCAAATCTTTCATACTTAACCTTTCACATCTCAACCCAACTCCAAACCCAACTAACCAAACAATTCCCATTTTCATGGGAACCTAACAGCATTCCTTACCTAGGAATCAGACTCACACCAGCGACAGATCATCTATACACCGCAAACCACAAAATATTGCTTGAAACTATACCCCGAGAACTAAACACTCTACGCACCTCAGAACTCTCCAAACTAGGCCATGTGGCAACCCTAAAAATGTATATTTTACCCAAAAATCTTGTACATATTCCGTACACTTCCTTTACCAGTTCCTAATTTCATTCTTCACTAAGCTAAAAAGAATTCTTACAAAATTCATATGGAACTCAAAAAAAACGAGATGTACCACCAATCTTTTAATTAGACCTACAACCAAAGAGGAGCAGGACTCCCACACCTCAAATCTTATTACACAGCTACCCTCTTGGACCAATTAGATTTCTGGTGGAATACTTTAAAGGAAAAAATCTGGTCCATAATGGAAACCCTCCCATTTCAACCACTTAAACCCCAAAACATACTCTTGATCGCAACGTTCAAATGTATAGAACCCCAACTAAATCATCCCTGCATTGTAGCCTCCCTACAAGCT